AGTTGTATGCTTCGGCAGCAGACAGATGAGTGGGCCCCCCCCCTTCCCTGTATTTTTTTTTTTTTCCCCCCCTCCCGTCTGGACATCTGCGAGCCACTGGCGCAGGTCCGAACTGTCCGGTGTCCGGTTGTGTCCGGTGTCCGGTAGTGTCCGGAATACCGAACAGTCTGGACCGGTCCGGACAAAGGTCCGGGAAACAGTCCGAAAAGGTCCGGTGTCCGGGTCCGGTGTTACGATGGGAAAATCCGTTTTTTGCCAATAACGTCTGATCCGCTGGACATAATTTGGCAAAAAAGGACTTGTTGGAAAGTTTTTTCAAAGGCGCTTCCAACGAGATATGGCGCGACTTCAGCCGCGGCCTGGAGAAATAGCGCTTGTCTAAAAACCGAGCGCGAGCGATTTTGGAGCTATGAAAAAACAAATCGCAATCTTTAAACAATCGTAACTTCAAAACTAACGCATAGAATTTGACAATCTATGACTCGTTGGAAGCGGCTCGTCGAGAGATTTCCAACAGAATTTGGACACCGGATGCACAAATTATGAGTAAAAATGTGCACCGATGTCATAATAAAAGTGAAGTGGCAAATTTTTTTGCTCAAGCCACGTGTGAAATGATGAAGGGGGTGGGTGAGGGAGGGGAGCGGGGAGAAACACCTGCTCTGATACCAGTGTGACGGACCCACCAGAATGGCATTCCGTCAGAATTAAGAAGGGTTGAGGGGGAGGAGACAGAGATGGAGCTGGAAAGGATAGCGCAGTTCCGACGTGGACTCAACACGCACGAACTTCAAAAGTGCAGAATGAAGAATGATCTGAAAAACTGACAACAACTGGGCTATACCCCCAGCGGACTGATTGGACTGGACAAGACTGGCCTGGTACCGACAGTGGTATCGGGCCGGACTGGACTGGACTGGAACAGCATACGGCCTGTGGGGTCAGGCGACGACCTGGTCCCACAGGCCGAACTGGCAAATAGCCGAATAGGCTCTGGTTGTAGGCCAAGGCGGATGGAGGCCCGCTGCAATGCTCCTCCATGGGAGAAAGCGCGTCTTACTGAGGACGTGTGGAGGGATCGGTACACTTGGCAGGCTTGTATCCGTTGTGGCCAATATGACCATAATCAGTTCAAGTGCCTAAATAAGAAGGTGACCGAAAAGATCCCGCATACAATGGGGCAGGCATTGGGATCCTCCGCTCCAGTAGGTAGCAATGTTGTCGGTAGTTCTCGAACTACTTCGGGAAACACGTCGGGCTAGTAGGAATAGTAGTTGTTCCTGCTAGGGTCGAGGTGGTGGACACACCCTCACCATCTCGAGAGATGGCCCAAGCTACTAACTCTATTGCCGTCTGACCCATCGATCCTCTGTTCGATGAATATGTTTGAATCCTTCGATGAGCTAGAGGAGGAGTGGTCTAGATCAGACCCACTGGCTTCTTGGACGACCATAGCCAAAGCCCCTAAGGGTGAGTTGTTCGTCGACGAGGTAGTCATCGGCGGCCGTAAGGTCGGGGCCTATTATGACACTTGCTCGACGCAAAACTTTATTAATCGCGTGTGCGTTCAGAGGTTGCGCTTATAGGGGCAAGTGCAGCGCCTAAGTCGACCTGTGGAGTCTACCTGTGCCAACAAACAGCGGATGGTAGTTAACAACTACCTTAAGGACGTTGAGTGTTATTTCCCATACGCGGGAGGGGAACTGAGACATCGCGTCTCGTTCCTAGTTAGTGATGATCTCCTGATGGACATCCTATTAGGCATATACTATCTTTCGGTTGCACAACCCCAGTTTGACTGGGACAGAAAAGTGGTAAAATACACTTTGCCCGGAGGGGGGACCGCCATATTACGTAAGTTTAAAGCTAGTAGTCTGATCGAGTCCTACGGATGCATGTGTGAGACAGCGTTTTATAATTATTATAAGCAAAATCCAGAGGAGGGTATGTACTTAGTTTATGTCTCTTCAGCAGGCGAGCTGGTGAAAATGCCGCCGGAGATAGAGGGAGTAGTCGCTAAGTACCCTGATCTATTTGAAGAGTCGAAAGAAGTTGTTGAGAGGGAGGTCGTCCACGCAATAGAGATTATCTTAGGGTCTAGTATTCTGAAGGGTAGGATCTATCGGATCTCTCCAGCTGAGCTCGATGAGCTTCGCCGACAGCTCAAGAAACTCATAGAGAAGGGTTGGATCTGGCCTAGTGTCTCCCCTTACGGATCACCAGTCTTATTTGTATCGAAGAAGGGAGGGACCTTGAGGATGTGCATTGACTATAGGGGCCTAAATGCCATCACTGTGAAGAACACAGAGCCCCTACTGTGCATCGACTTGGTGGACCGAGTGCAAGGGTGCCGGTACTTCAGTAAAATAGATCTGAAGTCCGGGTACCACCAGCTTGCAATCCGGCATGAGGATCAACAAAAAAACGCTTTTTAGACCGGGTACGGTCTGTACGAGTTTGTGGTGATGCCTTTCGGCCTTTGCAATGCTCCTGGCACCTTTTTTTTTTTTTTTTTATAAGGTTGTGCAGGTTGGAGACGGCCTTAGCGGGGTCCTTGTCGCACGACCATTGAGGGCAGTCCCGCCAGACAGGCCGGTACGTCGAGCCTTCCTATGCTAGGAGCGGGTACTACACTCGCCAAGCGAGACCTGCTCAGACAGCCCTGCCCACAATGGTATCGATACCTTTCAGCACGCAATGAACCGGATCTTTCATGACTACTTAGATAAGTTTGTCATCGTGTACCTTGATGATATACTTATCTTCAGTAGGATTATCGAGGAGCACGTTGGTCATTTAGACAAAGTCCTTAGTCTCCTTCAGTAGCACAAGTCCAAGATCAACGGCGAGAAGTGCGAGTTTGGCCGCACCCGTATCTTGTACTTGGGTCATGAGATTTCCGCAGAGCGATTGAAGCCTGATGACGTGAAGGTGGCCAGCATTCGTGATTGGCCGCGTCCTCAGTCTGTGACTGAGATCAGGTCCTTCTTAGGGATGACCGGCTAGTATCGCAATTTTGTGAAGAACTATAGCATAGTTGTCGCCCCTTTGACGGACCTAAGTCGCCTTGACACCCCATGGGAGTGGACAGACAGGTGTGAGGCTGCCTTCAAAAATTTGAAGCATACGCTGACGCACCATGAGGTCTTGAAGCTTCTTGATCCTGACAAGCCGTTTATAGTAACCACGAATGCTAGCCAATATGGTATAGGCGCCGTGCTCGCGCAGCAGAAGGGGCCAAAGTTGAGGCCAGTTGAGTACATGTCCAAAAAGATGCCCTCTCAGAAGTTGGCTAAGTCCACCTATGAGAAAGAGCTCTATGCGATTTACAAAGCGTTGACTGACTGGAGGCATTACCTCCTTGGTCGTTTCTTCTACGTGAGGACTGATCATCAGACCCTGAGGTGGATGAAGACTCAACCGGTACTCTCTGATGCTCTGAAGCGTTGGAATGAAGTCATAGAGCAGTATGACTTTGAACCTCGATACATTAAGGGGGAATACAACAAGGTTCCTGATGTGTTGTTGCGTAGACCAGACTTCCTGGGTGCGCTGATCATTGAGTTTGGGCTTGCGGACGATGTTACTCAGTCTTTGGTGGAAGCCTATCGCGAGGATCCGTTCATGTCAGAGATCATACGCAGATTGGAGGCGAAGGATAAAGCAAGGTATGAAGAGTTTGATTTGATCAATGGCCTGCTGTTCCTTGAGAAGGCCAGGAATAAACGTCTTTGTATGCCTAATCGAGAGTCTTTGCGTATTTTATTTTTAGGTGAGTGTCATGATGCCACCATACATTTTGGATATAGGAAGACTGCAGCAAATGTGTTGCAGCGGTTCTGGTGGCCCACAATGATGAAGGATGTGAAGCTGTACGTGGAGACTTGTCAAGTCTGTCAGCGAGACAAGCCACGTACCTAGGCCCCTCTTGGGCTTCTTAAGCCCCTTCCGATACCGGAAAGGCCCGGTGAGAGCCTGTCCATGGACTTCATGGACACGCTGGTCACCAGCAAGAGCGGAATGAGACACATCTTTGTTATTGTGGATAGGTTCAGTAAGTATGCTAGGTTAGTTGCCATGCTAGAAACAGCGAAAACCGAGTACGTAATCAAATTATTTAAGGAAAATTGGGACTTTGGACTGCCAAAGTCTATTATCGGCGACCGGGATGTCAGATTCACCAGCAAGTTGTGGAAGGCTGCAGCTGCAGAACAGGGTACCTAGATACAAATGACTTCCGGGAACCATCCAGAAGCAAATGGGCAAGCAGAGCAGATGAATCGCGTTGTTCAACACCTGCTAAGGCATTACATCAAGCCTAATCAGGTGGACTGGGATAAGAAACTTGCTCTCATTGCCAGTCTCATTAACAACGCCGTGCACAGCGCAACAGGGGTGAGCCCCAAAAGCCTGCTACCGACTTTTAAACCTGGACTGCCATTAGATTTTCTCTTACCTGAGAATCAGGCTGCTGTTGCACGAGGCACTCTAGAATTTGCTTATCGATATGAGCACCCGATGCAGCAAGTTGTAGAACAGATGCACAAGGCACAAGCGACTGTTATGAACATGATTGT